GCCCCCTGCATCCATCACACCTGGGCACCCAGTGGTGGGAGGGAGCTGTGGGCAGAGCCCCCTGCATCCTCTCACCTGGGCACCCAGTGTGGGAGGACACGGACTTGTGTGTGAACACTCAGGGGCAAAGCTGCCCCCAAGTGTCTGGGAAGTAGGCACAATGACAAACAGGCCCTGTCACACTGGGCCCAACAAGGGTGCACGCTGGGGAGGAGCAAACCCCACACCCACTGTCTGCAGCCATGCCTCTCATGGATACTGTGGTCCTGGCTACTGCTCGCTGCTGCAGCAGGCCAGTACACACTCACACCTTGGAGGGACGGCTGCTCCCAGCATGTCATCCCTGCAGGTTCCTGCCTGGAGGGGCAGGTGGACAGGCCAGAGTTCAGTAAGGACTAGACTCCGGAGTCTCCCAGCGCGCCTGCCAGCGTGGCGCCCTCACGGCCCCAGTGCAGAGTGGCTGGAGGTGACAACCTTTCTGTTAGGCCTGAGGACTGGAGACGGTCCATTCTCCCTTGTTTTTCATCAACTTACAATTGAATCCACTCTTGATTAACGTGTTTCTGTTTCCAACCAGCCCATCCAGTCATGTGCCCATCTGTCCACCACGCTATGGCTTTCCACCTCAGTCTTTGCAATCCTTCACTGAGAGCTGTCCATGCCAGCACTTCCCAATTCCCGCCCTGCCCAGAAGATGGGGCCAGCTCCCTCAGAGCTGTCGCCAGGGCTCCTGTCCAGTCAGAGCCAGCCCGAGGCCTCCCTCCTCAGCTCTGGGGAGCACAGCCTGCATTTCCCATAGGCCTTCTTCAGCAGGGAGTTGTGGATCCACCGGGTCTTCAAGGGCAAAGGTAGAAGATCTAGGCCTTCAAAGAACCTCAGAGCCCCTCGGATGGATGGGTGGTGAGGGCCACAGAGGACAGGGCCTCAGCTGCAGGCTTGTGTCTCTGCCGGGCCAGTATAGACTAGTGCTGCTCTGCAGGGATGACCACCACCATGTGACCACAGTCCCATGTGAGCCTGCTGGGCTGCACACACCCTGGAGTGTGGCATCCCCCCTCAGTGAGGGAGTCCGTGATGACGTTTTGGAGTCCGCATTCCCAGCCCTCAGAACTTCAAAACTGAGACCCAGGACACCTGGAGATGACGCTCGTGACAATGTCTGTGGTTACTGTTCTATCACTGCTCAGGAGGCATGGCAAGAACTGCCATGGTGTGAGGAGAAGACACTGGGCAGCCCGTACCAGGTGGCTGCCCTGGAGAGCGGCAGCCTCAGCTGGAAGCCATGGTATTTATTAAACCAGAGCCTGTGTGTGCTCAGATACTTGGGGGGAAGCTTGCTTCTGGCCCAGGGCAGTAAGTGAAAGCAGTCACTTGGCCAGAATCAAGGGACTGGACCAACACTTCTGCTGGAATAAATGAGACAGAATACAAAGCGCTGGATTCTGGGCCATGAAACACAGTGACCTCCGAGAGGTGGAGTCAGGCCCCGACTGCTCTGCTTCCTGTCAGGAGTTCCCAGATGAGGGCCCTGAGAGGAGAGGTGTGGCCAGAGGCTCTGGAAATGAGCAAGGAGATCATCATCTTGGGGTCTGGCCTGGGGTGAAGAAACTACCCAGCCCAGGAAAGACCATCTAGAAGGTGCAGGCAGCAGCCCTGAGAGCAGGTTCCCACCGAGTGAAGCCACCTGGCCTCAGGGGTGAATCAGGAGCACACAACACTGCTCTGGCCAGGCCTGACAAATCCTGGAAGTCAGACTCACAAAGACCAGCTTCCAAATAACTTAACTGTCAGAACCAAGGTCAAGAATATTTTTAGGAATATAAAACTAATCCAGGGCACCAGTTACAACTCATGTCTGACATCCAATCAAAGATGACCAGATGCGAAAGAAGTAGGAAAGTAAGCTAGTGGGGGAAACCAGCCAGTCCACCCAGCTCAGAACAGACCGGAAGACAGAATGGGCAGTGAGGCTAATGAAATGGCCATTACAACTAAACCCCACGTGTCCCAGGTTGAGCAGAAACACAGCAGATGCAGGAAGGTTCAAACTGAGTAGGGAGTGGAAATGTGGGGTATCAGCAAAGGAGGTGCTGCAGAAGACCAGGACCCTGAAGAAGAGGCAGCAGGCGCAGCAGTGAACCCAGGCACCGACTGCAATGAGAGCCAGACCCCCACCAGGAGTCCTCTCTGACACCCAGGGAAGAAATGACTCTCCTGCACAAATGCCCAGGAGGCAGAGTGGAGAGAACACTTAACTGCTGAGGCCAGCATTACTCTTCACACCAAAACTGGACAAAGATACAAGAAGAAAACAACACATCCGTGTCCCTGCGAACACAGACACAAAAGTCAACAAAACGTTAGCAGAGCAAACCCATCATCATGCAAAACCAGGTAACACATCAGGCCCACATATGCAACCCGGAAAACAAGACTGGCTGTATATTAGGAAAAACATCAACTAATGGACTAACTAAGAAACAGAAATTCTACCATCCCTCAAGAGACGTGGAAAAAAACTCCCAGGAAACTGAGAGAGAAGGGAACCTCCTCATCTCGGAGCCTGGCCCTCACAGGCCAAGGGGGAAAGCTTCCCAAGACCAGGAGACTGCCTGTCCCCAGGCCACTCCCC